CCGATGTGTATATTCCAGTACTTGGTTTGCACTCAGTTTCTGAGCCGTAGTTTCTCACACCCGCTAGCAGCCACTTATTTGTGTACGGTATCTTGCAATATAGTCCACTTCTGCAGTCCCGTTCACACGAATCCTAGAGGGAAAGGGACGAAGAAGAAATAATGAATAGTTAGCAATGCGACTTTAATCTCTATTGAGAAATGACATGGCTACGGCAATGAAGGCTGGTAGCTCAGGTTGTTCAGAAGGCTGTTGAACTGTTGGCTGAGCTGGGCAATATGGTTGCAAACATTTCGTCACCAAAGGAATTGACATCATCAGTGCGTAGTTGAGTGGCATGCAATAGCGTCGAGTAGTTTAGAGGAGCCTCGTTGAGAGGGCACTCTCACCGAGGCTCCTCTAAGCTACTCTACGCTATTGCACTCCACTCAACTACGCACTGATGATGTCAATTCGTTTGGTGACGAAACGTTTGCAATAATATTGCCAAGCTCGGAGAAATGACATGCTTTGGACTGGATATTAAACAATGCACATGGGTTCTTTGTATTGGCAATAAACCTACTATTTTGCTCTAATTAACCTGGTGTCCGAGGGTAACATATTTTGCATGGGAACCATAGAAGGAATTAACACTATGAGATCATAACTACTGTCTATCATCCTTATTTGTCTTTTGGAACTTCCACAACATTGGTTGAATTTGTATGCCATAATACAAGTTATTGTACGTAAAATCCTTATATTGTTTGTGCGTTGCTTTTATTTTCTTCCACAAATCTGTGCACATAAAAATATAATGTTAACACAGGTCAGTGCAGCTTGAAATTCAGCTCGTGTTACTTTTTCTGTTAAGCACGATTTCCATAAGGATGATTTTATCCATCGCCAGTAATCCGATCAAAATTGCTTTATGAATATTTCAAAAGAATAAACTATATATTTGCTTACGTGATCTGCAAATGATTTCGTTAATCCTAATTGCTTACATAGTAAACTAATTACAACCACACACCTTGAATACTGTGAGATGTATGACGGCTCTTGCAGTTATTAACAGCTACTCATAGCGTAAACTCTACATTTCTCATTCTCATTACATTTTATTGTAAGTGCACTTGGTTATTTTCTACCTTCGAGTTCTATTCCTACTTCTTTTTTACTTCATGTGACTGCCACTTCAGGGATTACTAGGGCAGGAAACGTAGGCATTAACTGGTTGGCCCGGGTGCGGAACGGGTTCTCCGATGTAGACCAATCAAGTACTCTAAGCACTTCTTCAATTCTTAGCTCAAAGATCCACTCAAGTTGGAACATACACAGGATTCTATTATATTTCTAGTCCTACCCGAACTTAAAATTGAACTGAGTTGTATTGGTGTTTTTAAAACATTAATATCCACTAAACCCAAAAAGTTCGTTATAGGCTACTGAGATACGTATATTTTGGGTCTACTGCCAAATTTTGGAAATCACATCGACATATCTGCACTAAAGGGAATGAAGATATAAACCAATAATTGACAGTTGTTTTTTACAGTGTGTATAACAGAGATGCGGCGGTTTATGATGGCGGAGACGGATGGATATGGCTGATTGCGTAGCCCGGATGAAGCTGTCGCCTGTAACCTCAACGCATAATATCTAATAATAATATTGCATAATGACATGCGTATGCGGTGCGTTAACTTCAACGTGACGTAATCGCCAGATGTCATATTTGGTGTGTGGTCAACCCACACTCGACGGAATGAGGGTAGTATAATTGTGGTATTTTAGCGATCTTCATATGGCACAACCCGGAAATCAAGGCTGTGGCTCATTTCCACATGCTGTCCACTCGCAATACTTTGCATCTCCGATCGGGTAACCGAAACAGTACACGTTGAGCCGTAAGTTATCATTGCAAGTGGTATTGTTTGTTCGAATGACAGTTACTGTTTTGTGTTTTCCGTCTAAAGGAATCAGACAATTTTTCAAGCTGTAGTTGTTATATATTACCAGATATTTAGTGCCCATTTCAAAGTATGAACCACCAAAATCTCGTTGTCATGTATACTTTTGCCGGATCAATTATTGTCAGTTAGCTAAAGTAAGTAGCTCATACTAAACACTCTGTTACTAATACGGTTGCAGATATTGGATAGCAAAAGCTGAACGGGTAAAGTAATATATTAACTAGAAAATGACCCT